TATGGAAATATAAGAAATCTTGGAAGACAATGTTATACAAATAGATAATATCTAGAAGACAATTTACACATTTACCACCAAGAGTACCTAAAAAAGGTCGACCAAAAGGAAATATTATCTTCTATACAATGGAGGTATTTAATTATGTAAAATKTAGGTAAAGACAAAACTGTAATCGGTATTTCAAAAAAGAGAAAACTAACATAAAAATTACTTCCTTTTGAGAAACTTTCGATTGATATCAGGCACTATGAAATGTTACTTTGGTTTGTAAATGATGGTATCGCTAAATCTGCTGAGTATGAAAACAAATCCGTACATGAAAAGGATGTTGAAATTGTTCCTGAAAGGGTATCAAATGCGATTATGGATAAGGCAATAGCAATTGACAAAATAAAATGTTATTTAACTGAAGGAAGTTGGCTTGCCATCCAGTAAGTCATTAAAATGAAAAAATAGACACCTACTTGGATCTGTCCCATATGTGCTGTCATCTAGAATTAAAATGTTTGAAGACTATATATAAATTACTCGCATTTTTCAATACATTATCAATAATTCGACCAATCACAGGACAGGACGTGAAAATAACCACTGTGTATTTTTTTATAAAATAAATTTCAAAAGATCTTTAAATTAACAGTAAGTGTAAAGCAAAAAAACAGAATTAATATGGGACTTGAAATTACGAGACAAAAAGCGTTCATGAGAGAAATTTGTCAAGACAACAGGTCACAAAGCCGAMATAAAAGACAATCCTGCATAAAACAARACATATGGTCACCCTACAATAGACCTTTAACTGTTTACTATAATATTTTATCGTAGTTTATAGGCTAGGRCCCTACCATATTTAATATAATTTTCTTTTCCCTTAACAATAGGAAAAGATAACTATATTTTATTTATGGTCTAATTGCCATAGTAAGTAGCTTGGCAAATTTACACTCAGCAGTTCACATATAGCATTGTAGTTTAGAAATTAGAATGAATTGACCTATTATTATCAAATTTAATCTTAAAAACRTTAATAGTATGATCGWTTTTACCAGTGGTGCCGAACTCTATGTTATGAAAATTTAAGATAGGGCCGCTTCATATTTACCATTTTCCTCTCCACGGTATGCTATTTTTCCGATATTAAGATGTTGGGCCTCTAGAAATATTTTTCSCCCTATTAGATTTTTAAGACTTCTGCGCCACTGGTTTTTACAATAATTTAGTTTTTAAGTGAATTATGAGTATTTTTAATGTACGATAAAAAGGTACTCAATGCTTTATAAAAACTTAAATTATTGTAAAAAGCCCACACATAAACATAAATAATGATGAGCGGTGGTGAACATATAGTTCGAAAAAAGTAAACAGGTTTTTTTAAATCTGTATCTTCATATTATTATAAAAATTAATTATCTGCTATAAAATTCAAATAGGTATTTATTTAAATTAAAATTATTTTTATTATTTACTACAATTCAAATAATCAACTTTTTTTAAATAAAATTCAAATGTATGATTAGGAAAACTTGAATAAAAATATTCAAATACTTTTAAGTTTTAAGTACCTATTCAAAATTCAAATACATATTTTAAATACATTTTTAAAGTATTTGTAGCTACCAGCTACATTTTTTAAATAAACTACTTATTTTCAAAAACTTTTTCTTTAATTCATATATTTTCTATATTCAATTTTATTTACATGAAAGTTCTAAAAAAACATTGTAAGAAAAACATTTTTAGTATACATATGTAAATTAATAACATAGGTACACTCACGACTAAATACATATTGTGGTTCATAAGGCCATGGGTACCCTGGAACTATTATTTATTAATGAAAAAAAATATTAAATTAATTTAAATTTGACTGATTATATTTTAATTAGTTTTTTAATGCCTTAATATTTTATAAGTATGGGACACCAATAAAAAATGCTCTAGATATTGCCCCAAAACAACAAACTAGATTTACTTTGAATTAGATYCAATATAAGACATCTCTACTAATTTTTGACAATCAGTACAGTAGAAATAAAATATTTATGTAAACTAACAATACCTAACTAAGTTAAATTGAAAATAAGTATTTTCATTTCTAACTTAAATACTCGTAGCATAAAAATTATATAGAGAAACAGCTTTAATTTGCTATTTATGTAACATAATAACAATTGAAACATATTAAGTTGAATATTTGTTTTTATTAATATAGGACTGCTCGGAGCCATTTTCATGTATTTAAATCTGCAATATTAAGACACAAATAATACAAATAAAAAGAAACAAAAAGGAACCTTATATTCTAAAACTGTATACATTTTTGATTTACATTATATACAATTTATTGTATTGTTCGCGTAAAATAAAAAGAACGAGTATAAAAATGAGAGGGCTGAATACAAAATTAATTGGATTTATTTTTAAATCTAATTATATAATTTATAGTACAATTTTTACATGTTAATTATATAAATATAATACTAATGTATATGATCACAGCATACGTCAATCATGTAATAATGACAAACCTATTGTAATAAGGATACCTATTACTCATTACTTTCGAAGTTAACCTATATACAACTAAATAAACCATTTAACCAACATGAGCTACAAAGTGTTCATTATAATGTATAAATTATGTTATAAATGTTAAGTATATTACGACCCGCACAATTCAATATTTAAAACAGGTATTACATATTTTGAAAAAGTTTCATTAAATTCATTGATTTCAATACCTATGTTATAACAATTTACCAATAATATTTCAGGTCTTTGTATAACTATTTCAATGATTACATCGTTGAAAACTAAGAATTATAAAATCACTTTATACTGAGTTTATTACAAGTATAGAATGGATAAAAAATAAAATAAATGATAATTGATACACACAACTATAGAAAATAAAAATTAAATTTTGAAAATACCAAGTCACACAAAAGCTAGTAATTAAACAATACATAGTTCATAATTACATAAACAATGTATTAAGCTCTTTTGTTCATAAAGACCAAATGTTTATATTCTAAATGAAATTATTAACATAATGCAAAACAAGCTTTTAACTTAATATATAAAAATAATATAATTTTTTAAGGGTATACGAGAACTAATCAAATACAGACTATAGTTTATTCTTATAGTTAATCATAAAGTAATGAAGTAGTGAGGATCAGGAGTATGTKAATCGATTCTTTTAAAAAAATTTAACAAGATCGTAAGCATTTTAAAAACTATAACATTTTAACAAATAAACATACTTAAGTTTTGATTTTGATAACATTAATCATACAGCTTATGTGATTTACACAATAAAAAAATTGTATATATATAAATATATAACGTAAATGATTTATTTCAATAACAGTTAAGGTATGGAAAATAAAATTCCAATATAATTTGTCTACTATGCAAGTACTAAAAGTAAAACGAATGATTTCTATAAAAGCAAGAATAAATCTGAGTAATACTGAATTAAGTTGTAAATTTCTTTTTAAATATTCACAAGTTGCATGAAAATATTTATAATTAATATATATATATTTTTAACATAATAAATATTGTAATTAGATATTGAAAGAACACAACAATTTGGGATTTAATTAAGTACATACTTAATTAAAATTATTTTATAAGTTATAAAAGAAAACATTTAAATTATGCTAAAATGTTTAAGTCAGTACAAAATATCTCCTGGTAAAATTTTATGAGAATGAGAAAATTATTCTCTATCTAAGGGTTTTATAACTTCTAAGAACTAAAAAATGACATGAATATAATGTAAAATTAAACAAATGTATCATTCCATTTTATAGCAACTATCGAATATTCAAAAATCTCATCAATGGACAAATAAAAATAACAGGTAAACAAACTCTACAAAATTACTAATCATTTTTTAAAATTATTATTACTATTATTATTTATTTCTATAATATTAAGAAAATTAACATTTAATTAAAATTAAAATCCTAGATAGGTAATAAACATATATTTTTAATCATATTGAATACTTTAGGAATATAATCAATATAATATAGTAATGGAGGATTATGTTTTAAAAGATGATAAATTATGTAGAATTCTATTTTTTTCTGAATTAGTTAAAAAGTTAATATTACAATTTTTTAATATCTGCAGAACAACTCAACGATGATTTTGTACATAAAATATTTTAAAAATGATAATGTTCATACAGTTAATAGATGATACAACATACAAACTGAAAAGCCAGTCTCAACTCTCAATAATCAGTCTCAATGAAAACATTAAAATTCACAATGCATCGGAGAAGAATAGATCTATTTAGGAACATTTCAAGCAGATTATGAAATATATGTTTAGGTAGTAGGTTGAATTAAATTGTAAGCTAAAAATGCAATGTAGATTTTATCTTATATCAGTATAAAAATAAAATTGATAAAAAAAATTAAAAAGTAATAATTTATCAGAAATAAAAATAATAGGATGAAAATAATTTAAAAAAATAAATAAACCACTATTAGAAATTAAATAAATTTCAGATAAACAAAAATCAAATTCTACTTTGTAAACAGCATTGTGAAAATGGATTGAAATTGTCTGAAAATATTTATCGAACTTATTTGTTTTATAAATGTTTTTATCTTAAAGTAATTATTAGACAACTATTTGAATTTACCTTTGTATTTGATATTTTTAAGGAATGAAAATTCAAAATATATTATTAATAAATAATAATAATAATAATAAATATTTAATTGTTGGAAATTAATTATTTAAATTCATGTGCCCTCCAATTTATATTAATATCATAAATATTATACTAATTAATGAATAGTTTAATACTATGTTTTATGATAAATAGTATTCAATATTAATAAAAATATTTAGTATTCAGTTATGAATACAATTGTTTTAATTTCTAGGAGTATTTCTGCTGTAAATATAACTACAAAAAAAAATTGTAATATTAATATTTAATTTAATTTATAGAAAAATAATATTAAAATTAGTAATTTTACCTTTGAGACACCGATTATACAAATTCATAAAACAGTATTCACTATTAGTATTAGAATAATTAAAAATAATATCAATTTTGTATGTCAATGGAATATTTTCTAATCAAAAACTAAAATTAATTAATACTTATTACATATAGCAGTTTAAGTTATTGCATGATTTAATATCAATTATGTCATTAAATAATATCTAAATTTATTGCTTTCGTTCATAGGACTAGACGATATTCCATCAGATTCATTTAAATAATTCCTCTTATAACATTTTAATAGGTACTACAAATAATTTAAATAGTTCAGTTTAGAATTAGTTTATTTTAAATCAAATTTATTGGATATTTAAGAGATATTTTAAGGCTAATTCATGTTGGAATATCAACATTTAAATTAATACAAGAATTTTGGAACAAAAAATTCGACTGAACTACCTAAAATGCTTCATGTTATTTTAAACTGTAGTCTGAATAGGTATAGCTAAAAATTTTAAAAAGTTCAAATAGATTTTAAGTATTTCTTCTCATTTGTAAATAAATTTTAAATAACGAAATTGTTCATGTATCAATACCAACTAGAGACGAAATAATCATCGAACAAAATTAAGTTATGTTTATCAATTATTACTTAATTAAATTTTGAGTTAAATACATACATATTTAATTTTAATGTAACTTTTATGGAGTCATGTTTAAGGTTAAGCAGTTGAAAAGTTAATTTATATATAATAGAAATCATTAATAGGTACCCTCTAATATAGGCAATCAACATTCRTATGAATAATGTTGAATAGTCTGAGAATTAAATACATCATTTTGCTTGGGTTGCAAATGACACACAACGGTTTGCCCGTCCAATACGGCTATTGTCCTAGCTGTTTGTTCTTTAAGTTGTTGCTTAAATGCAGCGTTGAGAGCTGTATGGAAATTATGAGTTTCTGGGTTTTGTGAAGGAGCCATAATAAGTGGCCTATGGTCACCATAGCTCTTCGATGACTGGCGACTCATATCACTGTTTCGTCGACCATCTTCATCGCTCAAATCTGATACAAGAGCAGCTTGTTCTCGCTCTCGTTCACGTTCCCGTTCTATCTCTTCATACACTGGATCATCTAGTCCGGCGGATGCGGATATACCACCCATAATTTCTGAGTATGTGTGATTCCATGGACTAGTAGCTCGTACACCGCTTGCCCCAATGTATTTTTTTGATGAACAATTGTTGTCAACAAAACCATCACCAATAGTATTGCACCGAAGTGAACATATGTTGGGTGCACCACGACTGCTATGTACATAAGTAGGTTTGTTTAGCGTAAAACAGTTATCTTGAATGTTAGGTTTGCTCTAAACAAAAAGAATATTACGCATAAATATATAATTTAAATTTAAACATGAACTTGCTTTTAAGAAGGTACCTGAGATGACTGTTTATGAAGGGTGCCACTACTGAATACAGCAGAATTCTTAGGCAATTTAGTGCGAGAATAACTCTTTTGACAAGAACGGGAGTAGGGTAACGTAGCACCACATATTCCAGATTTTGGATCTTCATGACATATCGAACTTTCCAAATTTGGCAGGTCCATTTCATTTTGGATATCAACAACTTTTGTCACAGCATGTCGCTCGTGAGGTTGGTGAAATGTCTAAAAATTAAAATCCCCAAGAATATAATTTTAAGTTCATATTATAAGTTGTTTTTACAAACATATGAATTTATGTATTAAACAAACATACATTCATTCTATGAGAAGATAAAGATCTTGGTGTTGAAGATTCTGCTATACTTCCTTGACTGTTTTGGCCAACTGATGTGCCATACAAACTAGTTCTTTGATTTTTATAATTAAGATTCAATTCTGGTGTAGAATTTATTAAGCAGCATTGCCAAGGTAAAAACGAAATTATTGTTAACTCAGAAAAAACTTTATACACCTGTAAAAAAAAAAAAAATATATGAGTTAAAATTATAATTTTTTATTCAAAATCAATTCATACGACTTACCGAATTATTTTTAATACAATAAAGTATTATTATTAACAATCCCTGTGAACAATTTACTGCGGAAAATATATACAACATGAATGTTGAATATGAAGCTATGTATAGAAATGCTAATGTCCACGTCGATGTTATGAAAACAAATAATAAAATAGCACTTTTCAACCACATCCTATAAATAGATTTATAATAATAAAAAATGAATGAGACAAATAAATTAATATTATTTAATAACTTACTTTAAAGATGTTATCTTAACATTTTCTTTACATTTGACTGACATCAAGGAAGAATTACTTTTAATAATATATAATGATAGACATAGAAAGACTAGATTTACCTATACAAAGAATAAGATAAATATTATTACMAACAACCTAATGTTTTAATGAAAACACTATAAATTATTAAAAATGTTCACGACTTACTAAAACTACAAACATTATACTATAAATAATAATAGTATTTGCTTGCAAGCAGAAAGAATTATTTGAGTTGTAGATATAAGTGTTATCCATATAACAAGCTACAATAACAATTGTCAATGGAACTCCATAACCGACTAAATAATATAAACGCATTTGCAATTTTTCAGAGTCAAATGCTTCAATTAATGTAGCATATAAATGAAAACCTAAAAACATACAAATAATAATACAGTTAAAACATAGTGATGATGTCAAATTGAGTTTTTCTGGAATATCAAAAGTATATATAGAGCATCATCCAAATCATACATTTTATAGCCTCTATTTAGGAAACTTGTAATTCATTTGAATAATTATAATTGACAAGAACAGTWATTTTAAATTTAAGTTGTTTGCAATGATTGTATAAGTACGTTATCATAGGAGATCCATTTTATGCTAGGTATAAGTTCTTTTTTATTATGTACAGTGTACATTGTACACCAACTATTATTTAAAAAAAATTAAATTAAAGTACAATAAAAAAAAAAGGATCAGAATATAAT